GGACTCTGGGCCGGCCACTCCATCACCTCAAACTGCCAACTGCCCCCCATTTCAGTGATGAAATCGGGGGTTGGATCAGCCAAGAATTCCTGTGTAATTCTTGCAGTGTGTGGTGGGGCATTGTCGTGCTGAAACAGGAAGTCAAGGCCGATCAAACCGTGGGCAGAAGGCAGCATGTGGTCACGGAGAATATCGACGTAAACACCGGCGTTGATATTCTCCACGACCCGTGTCAGCGCACCGGTGCCCGCAGAGCTCATACAGCCCCAAACCATGATGCCAGATCCTCCATGCTTTACTGACGGAACCACACAGTTCTCCGAGAACTCCTCCCCCACCAGCCTTCTGACGTAAACGCGGCCGTCAGATTGATACAGCTGGAACCGCGACTCATCGCTCCAAAGAACGCGGCTCCAGTCATCAGCCGTCCACGCCAGATGCTCCCGGGCCCAGGCTAGACGCCTTGCTTTGTGAGTAGCTGAAAGGCGGGGCTTGTGCCTTGCTACTCGACCATTCAAGCCAGCTGCTGCCAGGCGACGAGACACGGTGGAGTGATGGACATCGACACCAGTCTGGGCGAGTTCCATTCGCAACTCGGGGGCAGTCAGGAAACGGTTTCGGCGGCATGTCCGCACCAGGAACCGGTCATCCCGCGCACTGGTGGACCTTGGACGGCCAGATTTTGGGAGGCTTGCCATGGATCCTCTTTCCACCAGCTTCTTTAAATTAGTCCTGACGGTGTTGTCACTGATGCCAAGACGCCTGGCTATCTCTCGTTTCGAAATTCCTTCCGCATGCCAAGCTTCGATCATGCCTTTTTGGCGGTCAGTCAGGGGCGTTTTCGTGGCCATTGTGTTCGGCTTTGAGATTCGAGTGAAAGGATTCATATGCAAAATAGTCCCCCTATATAAAGCACTTGAATCCCCAGTTTCTATAGCCTTCAAACGGGTCAACTTTTACTTCATAAATATTCAAAAAATGTATTTTCCCGCCGCGCGAAGTTTGTTGCCATTGGTTTAAATGCCACTATAATATATTAATGAGCTTCATGAATATTAAATGACCTCTTTCAATATGGCGATTTTACACGGTCGCGAAACGCTGTCGCGACATTGTTCTTAAATGGAA